GAGAAGAAACCCCCTGGCACACTCTCTCCTCCTTCAGGCAGCCCCAGTGTGCCTTCCCAAAATGCCACTGTGAGGATAGGGCACCTGCCCTACTCCATGGTCTTTGGTGTCCTCCTGCAGTGTTTGAAGCAGGTATGTCCTCTCCTGTCACCTTTATGCCCACCTAAACCAGCTGGCTGAGCAATTCTAGCCCAGAGGACCTAAATAAGGCCTCAAAATTCGTATGTAAATCCTCCTTCTTGGTCCAAATCTGGGTGTAATTGTGCAGCTTCCCAGCCACCAGTGGGAGCAGCAGTTCAGCTCTTCAAGCACAGCTTTCATTTTGCTGCCTCAGAGCAGGCAAGGGCAAAAATGGGCTTGTTAGACAAGATCAAATAAGTCATCCTGTTTCTAAAAGGGCATTTGAAAGTAAATCCACACCTACTTCAAGTTTTTGATGTATTTTGAGAAATGATTAATGCTTCAGTCACTAATGAGCTGTAAATTTCAGTCCTTCCTGAGTGTGGCGTTGGCCAGAGTTCTGTGCTGAGGGTTGGCTTGATCTGGAGCTTAATTTGTGCTGGTGCTTAGGAGAATTGAATATTGGCTCTGCCTTTATGAGATCTGGATACATTTCTCTCCCAGTTTGTGGTGCCAATTGCACCTTGAGCTGGGTGACAGACACGGAGAAACTTGTGACAGCTAAATGCCACTTCTTTTTCTGTAACTACCGTGACAAAACCTACATCTGCCTAGGAATTGGCACCTTGTCTGGAATCTGATTAATCTTACTTTCAAACTGAGCTGAAATCACACCCAAATTTTCAGCCTTACCATTTTCTTTCTCTGCAGGAGACAGACTGGAAGGTGTTGAAGCTAGTCCTCAACAAACTACCTGAATCTCTCCGCTATAAAGTGCTGTTTTTAACTTCTCCCTGTAACATAGATCTTTTGGCCTCTGCACTCAGCAACATGGTAATGCCACTGATCCACAATGCCAGTGGTTTGTTTGGGAGTTGGTTGGGGTTGGTTTTGAGCTGGTTTTTTTGCCTTTAGTCTAATATTTTGAGGATTAGATTGTCCATCCTCACCTTGTCTGTGTGTGAGGGTTGGTTTAGGTGCAGAGTAGGTACAATGAGTGTTCTTTATGTATGTACATATGTACAAGTGAAGGAGGAGCTATTTGCAGTGCCTATCTGCTGCCTTTTCAAGACTGTTTTAGTGTGAGGTGTCCTGACTTGCTGTGTGATGTCTCAGCTCACAGACAAGAAGACCACGGACAGGCTCCATGGCACCCCTGAAGGCTTCTCGCGCACTGATCTGCACCTGGCTGTGGTCCCAGTGCTGACAGCACTCATCTCTTACCACAACTACCTGGACAAGGCCAAACAGGTAGGGGGGAACAGCAGGGTGTAGGGCATCTGAGCCTGTAGAGCGTTTTCTGTCCTAGCTGTTACTTGGGGTGGGATCGGGGCGAAAAAAGTACTTTGCTGACTTCATGCAGGATTAACTCAGGTCAGGTGAATTCACTGCTCACCTGTCTCCTCACAGGCCACTGAGTGACCTCACCCTCTGCAGTAAGACCCTTAGAAACACCAAGTTCTGTTGAATCATAAATATTCATGTCTAAAATATCTCCTTGATTCAAGTCCCACATTAAGATTGTGGCCTAGAAGCTATGCAGTGGGGTTCTGTGTTAGAACTCAGGTGTGTCATACAGGCCTTGCAGGCCATTCTGGAATGCTTACTGGAGTCAGGAGATGGTGCCTCAGGGATTTTCTCATTCCCTGTGTGATGCCTTTGTTTCCCACTCTTGCAGCGGGAGATAGTGTATTGCCTGGAGCACGGGCTGATCTATCGCTGTGCCAACCAGTGCGTGGTGGCACTGTCAGTCTGCAGTGTGGAGATGCCCGACATCATCATCAAGGCTCTGCCTGTCCTAATAGTCAAATTAACCCACATATCAGCTACAGCCAACATGGCAATCCCTCTTCTAGAATTTCTGTCAAGTAAGTTGTGATGTTCTACTTTTCGTCTTCTCTAGTTGTGTTGCTTGCACAGAATAAGGATATTTGGATTGTGTTGGTAATGTGGAATGCACTGCAAGGGTTTCAGTGGTGCCCTTGCTCCATCCTCTAAGTATAAATGTTTGATCACCTCTTGTTTGTTCCTGGTTTCCTATTTAAAGCAGCGAGAGAGATATCCTTTGTCTACTGCAGCCACAGTGCATGGATATACAACTCTCCTTTCTCCTTCTTGCATGACATTACACCATGATGTTAACTTCCATGTCAGCTGCTCATTTAGAAGAAACAAACCAGTTCAAATTAAGCTGAATTAGGATATTGTGTTTGTGTTGAGGTCTCACCTGTGTTGGTTTTGTTGTTGCACTGTCCCAGCTCTGGCCAGACTGCCTCACCTGTACAGGAACTTTGCAGCAGAGCAGTATGCCAGCGTGTTTGCCATCTCCCTGCCATACACTAACCCCTCCAAGTAAGTACACAAGTGTGCTCCTTCCTCATCTGGAAAATCAGGAGAACGCGATGGGCTTTTTGTAGTACTGGGCTCAAGGTTAGTTATAGTAATATTGCTCATCCTGGTGTCTCAGGGCTTTTCCTGAAGGAGGGACATTCCTTCCCTGTGAGGGTGATGGGGGATTGGAATTGATTTCCCAGAGCAGCTGTGGCTGCTCCGTCCCTGGAAGTGTTCCAGACCAGGCTGGATGGGGCTTGGAGCATCCTGGGCTGGTGGGAGGTGTCCCTGCCCATGGCAGGGGTGGAAAGGGATGAACTATAAGGTCCTTCCAACCCAAGCCATTCCCTGATTGGGACAATCAGACAAAATACCTCTTTTTCTTGGTCAGAACTTTTGAGGGTTTTTTTCCTTTATACTTAGGGTAGGTAGGGTATCAGTTCTGTTTCTCAGATTGAAATGTGCCGCATTAACTCTTTGTGCTGTTGCAGATTTAACCAGTACATCGTTTGCTTGGCCCATCACGTCATCGCCATGTGGTTCATCCGCTGTCGCCTTCCCTTCCGAAAGGACTTTGTCCCCTTCATCACCAAGGTAATGGACACTGCTCAGTCCAGTAGCACAGAATAAAAGTGAGCGCTTAAAGACTGATCTGGGAAGTTTAAAGGTTACAGAATCACAGAATCATTAGGGTTGGAAAAGAGCTCTGAGGTCAGAGCCCCAAGTCTGACAGGGTTCAAAGAGTGTTTGGACAATGCTCTCAAGTACATGGTGTGATTCTTGGTCTAGGGTCAGGAGTTGAACTAGCTGATCCTCAAGGTTCCCTTCCAGCTCTGATTATTCTGTGATCATCAAGTCCAACCTATGACTTAACACCATCATGGAAGCTATGCTTAGGCACATGAAAAGCAAATAGGTGAGGTGAAATAACCAACATGGCTTCACCAGGGGCCAGGAGTGCCTAACAGATTTGGTGGCCTTCTATGATGGGGCCACAGCATTTGTGGATGGGGCAGAGCAGCCGATACTTTCTATCTGGACTTACGCAAGGCGTTGACACTGTCCTGCATGACATTCTTGTCTCTAAAGTGGAGAGATGGATTTGATGGGTGGAGCACCAGGAGTGCCTAACAGATTTGGTGGCCTTCTATGATGGGGCCACAGCATTTGTGGATGGGGCAGAGCAGCCGATACTTTCTATCTGGACTTACGCAAGGCGTTGACACTGTCCTGCATGACATTCTTGTCTCTAAAGTGGAGAGATGGATTTGATGGGTGGAGCACTCGGTGGATAAGGAACTGGCTGGATGGTCACACACAGAGAGTTGTGGTCAGCGGCTCAGTGCCCACGTGGAGGCCAGTGAGAAGTGGTGTCCCTCAGGGGTCAGTGCTGGGGCCAATACTGTTCAACATCTTTGTCGGCGACATGGACAGTGGATTGAGTGCACCCTCAGCAAGTTCACTGACCACATCAAGCTGTGTGGGGCAGTTGACATTCTGAAAGGAAGGGATGGGACATCCAGAGGGATCTTGACAGGCTTGAGAGGTGGAACAGTGGAAACTTCATGAAGATTAACAAAATGAAGTGTAAGGTCCTAC